ATATAAATAGTAATCACTGTCCATCTTGAATACATAACGAAGAAGGAAGCTTTAGAGTTCACAAGGTTAATGCTGTATGGAACAAAACTGTGACTGAATCTGGATGTTCTGCTTCGGATACCACAAAGCCTCCTCCCAGAAGGTAACAAAGAAAACAGGTCATGAAGAGGATATGTAGTGTCCCAGCCAGTCTTGCGGACCCCGCTCAAGCAACGCTTATATACTATGTCCTGGATGGAAGGGAGGGAACTGCCAATGATCTTTTCCTATCAGAATAGTTCTCGGACAAGGTTGCATTCTGGCGCCTTTATTATTTAATCCATTTATTGATCATTTTGTAGCCAAATTTATTAATCCAGCTTTTCATCCTCCAAAAGTGGGAAGTAAGCACATTTCTATTTTCTTCTAAGATGATGACCCATTACTTCTCTTATATACACAGACTGATTTGAAACAGGGTTCTCTGTGCTTATTTACTGCTGCAAAAGAATGTTCTAAAATGGTTATTTTGAAGCTAAGCTCAAGCTACCTGTAAGGCCCTCTAATATGTGTGGGTGGCAATCATATAAAGCAGCTTCCAACTTTCTGTATTTGGTATCTACAAGCCACAAATGAAGTACTAAGTCCATTTTATATTATTCTTGAAACACAAAAATCTGCTTCAGCTCTTCAATCTTTGTATTTCACAAAATTTGCTCAATTTATATCCAAGTGTTAAATATGTCTTTCAGCTAAGCCAGTGGTTCTCAACCTGTGGGTCGGGACCCCATTTGGGGTCGATCGACCATTTCACGGGGGTCGCCAAGCAAGGCTGTCCGCCATTTTTTTTGTCCACCATTTTTTTCCCCTTTTCCGGCGGGTGCCTTACCTCCCTTGGGCTGGGCCAGCTGGTGGTCGGCTTGCTCCGTCTCTGCCGCTTGCCAGCTACGCCTCGGCCGGCGCAGGGGGCGGAACCACGCATGCGCGGCGCTCCCGGGCAGGGAAAGTCCTCGACTTATGACCGGTTGGGTAGTCCTCGACTTACGACCGGTTTAGTCCTTGACTTACGACCGGTTGGGGTCACGGCATTAAAAAGGTTGAGAACCACTGAGCTAAGCTGTTTGAGCACAACTTTTTTTCAGGCTTTGTTTGTTTGTTTGTTTGTTTGTTTGTTTGTTTGTTTGTTTGTTTAAAGATCTATAGACTATATTCCAGGACTTCTGCACTATGGAACATGGTCTTGTATTGGAAGTCAGTCTAATACTGGACCAACTTCTTCTTTTTTTAACAAGTTTTTATTGGTTTTCTAGTTTTACATTTAAGTATTTAGAAAGCAGTGTGGTGATTGGGTAGTCAATAACAGAATCTTTAGTACATATCTCAGGTTACATCATCAAAAAATTCCTTCTCTATTTCCCTTAACATTTGCTATATCATATTTAAGCTAGTAAATTTGTAATTATAACAAGCTCAGTTAAAACATTTATCAATATATTTTTGCTTATACATATCCATGTCCTGTGTTTAAATTTTACCTAATTTTTAATTTTTAATTACAGTATTCCAATTTAACCTTTAATATCCATAGTATTTAGATTTCGAGTAACCCAAATTTCCTTTATTTCACTACATAAAAATTATAATATCTAAAATACACCTATTACTTACTTAAATGTATTCTTATTTTATTTCATAAACATTTTCTATTTCCCATCCTAGTACATCACCACTTACTAATGGAGTATCCTTTATTGTCTCAAATCCATTGTCTGTGTTATCTGGGCTAAACAATTATTCGAAGCTATTTCCTAATAGTTAATTTTCATTTCCCTTATAAATCTAAATTCTCAATATTAGGCCAATTACTCCCTTATTTTTTTATCATTTTCCAACAATAGTTAAATCTAATAATCATATTTCCCTTCATCTCAAAATTTCCCTTTAGCCCATTAGTTGAGACATTAGGATGCTCTCTAATAAATCAAAAGACCCCATTTTTAAAAATCTAACTCTAGCTTTCTTTTTATGCCAACCAGGCTTCCATACCAATGCCTTTAGATCATCAGATAAATCTCCCTTCATTCTTGGGCATGTTAGTTGGATCAAAGTTATCAATCTAGTTATCAATTTTCCAGAGGAATTGGCCCATTTATGGTTGTTAAGTTGTCGCCCTGGTGTCCCAGATACCCATATTTGTTCTAGTATATTTGTATTCAATTCAATCTGGTCTTGTTCCTCAGGTTTCTCTGGTGTAATTAGAAAGTCATGTCCAATTTTATGATTGTTGTTTGGTTGTCTAGGTTTTCAGTAGGCTGTACTTGAACTTTAGCACCCTTGATCTTGGTATTACTTTCTTCCACTTCTATTGTTTTTTGAATTGTAAGTTCTTTGGTTGCAATCAGGGTTTTGCTTTGTAGGTTTATGCTGGCACCTTTGTCTTTCAGTCTAGCTTTAATTAACTCAGTAGCTTCAAGAATTTTTTCAAGTATAAGTTTCTAATTAGCCAAAATTAGTTGCTGGTCCTCCTCCATTTCTGACATGGTTATAAATGGTCTTTTAGTGAAGGCTATTTATTAAGTGAGAGTCAGTGAGTATTCATCTCCACAGTCCTAAAAAGCAATTTCATCGCCCAGCTGTTCTCTCAGCTTTTAATCTCTTTTAGATAATACCAAGGACAGATCTGGGCTATGAGCAGGTCTTTTTGTCAAGAATATTCACTTGCTGTACCAAGTTTTGCCACAAGATGTCCTCAATAGCATTTAAAATCTTTTTCAAATCCAAAGCCAAGTTTTTGTCCAATTTAAGTTCTTTTTCATCTTTTTTACGAATAGATAGAGTAGCAAATCCCCATGAAAGTAGGAACTTTTTGGGTCCCTGAATATCAAATACATGCAAATCCAATTATTTAGTTGTTCTTTTCAAGGCTTTATGTCCCGGAGGTAGACAGACGCCACCATTTTAGAGCTGGGAGGAAAACATTCCCTTCCCTCTCTCCTCACAGGGGGAAGCAATTAAGAAGCTTTTTACAGGAAGATACTTGGGGTACAAAGAAGGTAGGGTCTCACCCAATTCCTCCACGGTGCTTTCAAAGTGCTTGTTAGTAATTTTGGCCTTGGCTGGTAGCGGCTTAGTGATGGGCCATCAGTTCAAATTGTTGCCCGGGATCAAATGGGAGGGCTGCTGCCCTTTCGCGATCACTCGGGAGTCCTCTTCACGCTCGTCGCCCCTCCAGGGCAACTTCAGACACTTTTCAGGGTCCCCCGGCGCGAGAAAACCAGATGGCGGAGGGAGCGATCACTCCGCACGTCCACCAGCACTGCGATCGCAAACCGGAAGCCTAAAACTGGACCAACTTCTAGGTCTTCTTGGCTACAGTTTTTTTTCCAACTGGGTTGGCTCATTGCACTCAAATCATCTCTAAACTCATTGGGGCCAGATGTTCCTCCTTTTTTAAGTGTAAGGGACAGATAGAAACCTTCAAAAATAAAATGTCTTTGATGTTATTAAAAGCCCTCAAAGTAGCCACAAAATGGATCCCTCCCCCCATATAAAGTCACTCGGAGTAACCTGAGTTGGGCGGACATATGAATTTGCTTATACAATACATAAATAAATGTATACGGAAAACATCTATATTCACCTTGCCCCAGATGTGATAATTTACAGGTATTATACATTTCTGCCCAGCTCTCATAATAGAAAAATTCCAAAAGCTTCTTGCCCTATACATATGGTCTTCTCCATCCATTTTACTTTATAATTTAGTCTTTAGTTTTATTATTAAGAATCAGTTTAGGATATTTGATCCTGGATGGATCAGAGATAATGACTGTAAAGGAATATCGTGAACTTTCTGTGGATTAAATACAATAATACAGTGGTGGCGAACATATGGCACGGGTGCCAGAGGCGGCACTTAGAGCCCTCTCTGTGGGCACATGCGCCATCGCCCCTAGGCCTTCAGCTGGGTTTTATAAAATCTTTTCGCTTTAGGCCTACGCCGCCGTGTGCAAAAAAAAAAGGTTCAATCAGTCAATTTCAACTTCTCGCGGGGAAAAAAAAGATATGGCAAAATTGGAATTGATTGATTGAAGCTTTTAGTCCCACCCAGTCTGCGGTTACCACTGCAGCCACGCCCACCCAATGGGACATGCCCACCCAATGGGCCACACCCACCCGGCACTCGACGATGCATAAGTGGGTTTTGGGTTTCAGTTTGGGCACTCAGTCTCTAAAAAGTTCGCCATCATTGCAATAATAGATTGTTAACAGAGGCCTTTGAAGTTTAACTTTGATGTTGGATTTACCTGACAAAACTGCTTTTTAAAAAAATAGTAGATAGATGCTAGATCAAATTGGTTGGGTAAACAGAGATGTAGAAGTTCATAAATTGTGGAACTGTTTTGCAAGGGAGGAAATGACTATTGTTGAAATATATTAATCAGCATTCAACTGGTTGAGGGGGACAATCTATGTATATATTTTGTTTTTTCTTTTTATGCAAATTTTTCCCTGTTTAGTTTTCTTTTCTTTTAGATTTAGTATCTTAACCTTGGGAATAAAATTTTAAAAATGAAAAAAAAATAATTTAGCCTGCAAAGTTGACAGAAGTTCAATGGTATTTATTGATAATGGCTAAATATGTTAACTTTTGACATGCTGTGAAGAAGCTACTATTTAAGGAAATGATGCCCTGGAATTATTGAATTAAATGTAGTAATTAACCCTTCTTCTTTATTTCTCAAGAGAATTCCAGTAGCCAGATTAAAACATTATATCAATATTGACTTAGAAAAAAGCAGAGATGGAGGTAGAGATATAAAGAAGGATTCATGTATGTGAACTTGAACTCTTATTAAGTACATTTTATGTTACATTATGGAGTGGCTGATTAATTGAGGTCCTGCTTCTCAAAAACTGAATGGTGAAATAAAAATTACTGCTGGATGTCTCAAATAGCTACATTTTATACTGAGATGTTGATATTCATTGCAGCAGTTTTAAACATTCTTCCTAAGGTAATGCCCATTTTTCCTCTCCCCATCTGCAACATCAGTAGTAGTCCTCTTCCAACTGTTCACAAGTATTATCAGTCTGGAGATTTCATCATTTCTGCCATCATTTATCAGATCATTTTTCTTTCATCTGAGATCACTTTTCAAAGTCTTCCTTCTCATGAATTGCTTGATCAGTATCTGTAAGTATTTCCCTTTTTTCACATTTGTGCTACTGCTTCTTCTACTGCTGGTTGGTTATTTTACTACTATTAGAAATTGCAATATTTAGTTGCTTCTGAAATCTAGAGCTCTGGAAAGACTCTTCCAGTGTTTTCAGGTAAATATCAAAAGGAAAGAAGCAACAGCTTGGCACCATATTTTGCTCTATTTATCTGAATATGGCCAAAGAAGGACTACAATTACTATAGTGGAAGTTCTCTGAAGGTGATCCACAAAGATGCCATGGATAAGGAATGAAAGCTCTCTGTGAAATTCAAGGTAATATTCCACATTCACCCTATCAAGTTCCTTAGGTAGGACATACATTACAGTGAATGAAGATGGTATAGTTCCACAATATTCTAAACCAGACTTGAAATTATTTAAGAAGATTAAGACCATATAGATGTCCCTGAAATATGATTTTCCCATCTTCTTTATTACTTTATTACTTATTACTTTGTAAAGAAAGATTCCTTTGATAATCATCTTACATTTATTTCTTTAAACAATACTGATTAGGTTCCTGTCCCAAGTACATAGTCAATGGAATCTTTCCCAATAATGTCTATTTAGTTTGCCAAGAATAATAAGAATCAAACAAAGACAGCCATTTATACATATTTGAAGTCCATAATATAACAAAATCATCAAATCAAATGATGAAACCACTTCCAAGCTTCCGCCAAGCTTACTTACTTTGACATTGGAGTTTAAATTGAGGCAAAACCTATTGATTATATACATGCAGTTACATGAATTTTCTTTCACAGAAAAATTCAGAGTCTTCTATATAGATGATGTCATAGATGTAGGCCATATAGATGACTTAAAAATAAACTACAGGAGTTTTGATTCACCTTTAGTGTCCTGTCTTTTACTTCATCAAGAAATGAAGCAGAAATCTCTCAGGGGTTTTTGAGAACCTATTTCAATCTTTCACAGGTCTATGGTGGAATATCTGAACTGATTTACAACCTATGAAATTAAGACAAAACTCAAATTTAAGCTAATTGTGGAATATTTTGTCCCTAAAATATAACTGTTCCCCCTTCACTTGACTCTTCTTTGAGATATTACTGCAAATGTTCCATTATGAAAAATCCTGACAGAGCAATTCTACCATAAATCTGACACTCACTAGATTAAGACAGCTAAAGAGATCATAGACCTGGGTGCAATTCCCCTTTTTCTAACTAACCATGATTAGGTCATTTGAAACTCCTTTTTGAAACTCATACATTTTGGACTATCATTTGGTAACCATAAGGGTTACCATAAGGGTCCAGGAGTCTACAGCAAACAATACACACAAACTAAATGTGTTGCTGTGATGGTGTGATTCCAAAACCATACTTGGAAAACTGCATCCAGCTTTGGTCACCACAATGTAAAAAAAGATGTTGAGACTCTAGAAAGAGTGCAGAGAAAAGCAACAAAGATGATTAGGAGACTGGAGGCCAAACCAGAATAACCAGAAGGAATTGGATATGTCTAGTTAATGAAAATAAGGACTAGGAGTGACATGATAGAAGTGTTCTAATATCAAAGGGGCTGCCACAAAGAAGAGGGAGTTAATTTATTCTCCAAAGCACCCAAAGGCAGGACAAGAAACAATGGATGGAAATTCATCAAGGAGAGAAGCAACCTAGAACTAAGGAGAAATTTCCTGACAGAGAGAAGAATTAATCAGTGGAACAACTTGCCTCCAGAAGTTGTGAATGCTCCAACACTGGAAGTTTTTAGGAAGAGATTGGACAACCATTTGTCTGAAATGGTATAGGGTTTCCTGCCTGAGCACGGGGTTGGACTAGAAGATCTCCAAGGTCCCTTCCAACTCTGTTATTTTGTATTCTGTATGTTGTAAAACAAGAAAATTGATCTGCTATCAGATTCTAAAGAAAGAATATATCAATGTGTTTTATTACTCTCACTGAAGGTTCCTCACTCATAATTACCAACACACTTTGGCTTTGGCATTTGCTGTAAAAGAGATCAATGAACATACTAGAATTTTACCCAATATTACCCTTGGTTTCCACATTGCTACTGACAATTCTTTGGAAAGCACAACATATCTTTTAGCAATGGAACTTCTCTCTACAAAAGGCAGATTTATCCCAAATTACAAGTGTGATATCCAGAACAGTGCAGCAGCAGTGATAGGAGGACCACAGAGAAAGACCTGTCTCAACATGGCAATTATATTGCATAACTATAAGTTGCCACAGGTAAGATATAAATATGGATCAAAATAGGAGAAGTTATTATTTATTTCACCAAGCCAAAGAATGGAGAATACAGAATTTATTCCTGATTTCATTTCATATATTAATTTTAGATGCCATTTCAGAAAGTATCATGATAGAACTAAAGTATTGTAATTTATCTTCTTCTGAAGATTTTTAGAAAGGTTTATTAATATAATATATTTATTTTAAGATAGAATATGCCTCCTACCCCGTCCTCTGCTTACCTACAACCCCAAAGGACCTCATGATACTTTTTTTCAGAAGTATCTCAAATGCTTGAAAACTTGAGCAAAGAAGTTGATCCATTTATGAGATCAGAAGGAAATAGTCCTCTACTGTTTTTTAATGCTGACTATATAGTTCTAAGCTTCCAGATCCACATACATTTAGAATTATTTCTTTGATGAAATCCTTTATTTCAAATTATTTCTTTGATGAAATATATTATTTCCCCCCATGTATTTAGATCACATATGGCTCAGCTCCCTTGATGAATAATGAAGCAGATGTGGGTTTTTTCAACTGGATGTTCCCAAATGAGATGCATCAGTTTAATGGAATACTACACTTACTGTTACAGTTTGGATGGACCTGGGTTGGTATAGTTTCTATGGATGAAGACAGTAAACAGAGGTTCATTCAAAAATGGCTTTCCAAGTTTTCTGAGAGAGGAATCTGCTTTGACTTTATGGGATGTATCAACCAAATGATGTATGGTAATGAAGCTGCTGAAATGATTGAAGAGACAGATAAAGTATATCAAGTCATCATGGGGAGTACTGTCAGTGCAGTAATCTTGAATGGTGAAATTTGGACCATAATGACTTTGAGAATAATGATCTATTTATTAGATTCTGATGATATTTCCAAGGAGAGAAAATCCAAAATTTGGATCATGACAGCCCAGATGGAATTCACCTCCATCCTAATGCAAAGACAGTTGCCCATTGATTTTCTCCATGGTGCTTTTGCCTTTGCAATTCACTCAAAGGAGCTGACTGGATTCCAACAATTTATGCAGAACAGAAACCCAAACTTTGACAAAGAAGATGGTTTCATTAAGGATTTCTGGAAAGATGCATTTGAATGCTCATTCTCCAGTGATGTTACAGATGAGAATACTGAAAGGGTTTGCACTGGAGAAGAGAAGCTGGAGACTCTTTCAAATTCTGTGTTTGAGATGACCATAAGTGGACATAGTTACAGCATCTATAATGCAGTCTACGCTGTAGCATATGCTCTGAAGGCCTTGCACTCCTCCAAACTCAAAGAAGGTCAAATAATGAATAAAAAGAGATGGAAGCTCTTCCTTCAATCATCATGGCAGGTAATGTTGTGCAATGCAGAGTTCAGGATGGTCATCAGGGTGCAACCCAGTGTCTGCATTTCCTGCATCAGATGAGGAGAACACATCTTTCTCCTTCTGTCCTGGCCATTTTTTACAGAGGCACAATTGACAGTGTTTTAACAAACTGCATCACTAGATGGTTGTTTCTCTGTGTTATATAATATATGTGGGTATATGCATAATATACCCACATATATATATATATTGTGTGTGTGTGTGTATAATTAAAATAAACGGTGTTTGGATCAACAACTTAAGATATGCTGATGATACAGTTCTGCTTGCCAGTAAGCATGAAGACCTTCAGCTCCTCATCAACAGAGTCACAGAAATACAGAAAAATACGGCTTGAAGCTTAATACCTCAAAAACCAAGATCATGGTCGTCAGCAAACAACCCGTTAATTTACTACCAATAAATTCAGAAGGAATACCACTAGAAAAAGTTGAAAGGATCACGCACCTCGGTTCTAATCTACATGAAAGCTGGGACATGACCGTTGAAGTAAAGACAAGGATAGAAAAAGCCCAAACAGCATTCTTCAAAATGAAAAAGGTCTTCTGCAGTCACGACATAAGCCTAAGACTGAAAATCAGGCTTGTCAGATGCTGTATTTTTTCTATCCTGCTCTATGGAGTAGAGAGTTGGTCTCTGACAGAAGGCCACCTGAAGAGACTAGAAGCATTTGAAATGTGGATTTACAGGCAGCTGTTACGTATAAGCTGGGTTGACAAGATCAGAAATGAGGAGGCGATAAGTTTCCTGGGAAAGCCAAGGGAAATCATCAAAACAATTAAAAAACGAAAATTAGAATATTTCGGACATGTGATGCGACACCCAGAAAAATATGGCATACTCCACTTAATCCTCCATGGAAACATTGAAGGCAAAAGAGGTCCAGGCAGAAGAAGAACATCGTGGCTTCAAAATCTAAGGGATTGGTTTGGACAAAACTCAGCAGCACTTTTTCGTGCTGCTGCTGATAAAAACAGGATCGCCAACATGATCGCTAACGTCCGATAACAGATATGGCACAAGAAAAAGATGCATAATTCTGTATTTATTTATTTATTTATTTATTTTTGCCATATTTATGTAGTGTATATCGGAGGTGGTGACCCTTTGAGAGCTGTATGCAATTTTATTTTAATGTATGCCAATTAGTGTACATTAAAAGCGACAATAAAGTTATTAATTATTCATTATTCAATTGATCAGAGTAAATGACCTGTGGGACTTTTCACTTTTTCAGTTTTGTGATGGAATTCTCATTTTAAATATTTTCAACTATAATATTTTAGTTAAGCAATAGGTTACAAATTGCATGTGACAGAGAACATATTTATCTTCCAGTTTTAAATACTATAAACTGATGCAAAATTTAACAGCTTATTTTTAAAACATAGTCAAAATTAAAAAGAATATACTGAGATTTGCTGGTACTATTTAAAGAATGCTGTTATCCTTCCTTCCTTCCTTCCTTCCTTCCTTCCTTCCTTCCTTCCTTCCTTCCTTCCTTCCTTCCTTCCTTCTTTTCTTTAGCTCCACCATTATTTGCAGAAAGTCTCCTTTAACAATAGTGCTAGTGAAGAAGTTTCTTTTGGCCCCAATGGGGAATTGCTAACTGGATTTGATATTCTCAATTGGGTCACATTCCCAAACAAGTCCTTTTTGAGAGTCCAAGTTGGAAAGATCGATCCCATGGCCTCCCCAGACAAGTTCCTCACCATTTCTGCAAAGGATGCTGTTTGGCCCCCCATATTTAAACAGGTGTGTCTCATTTCTTACTTTTTAGGAAACTATTTAGTGACTGACATATGCCAAGCAATGCTTAAAAAATAAACAATTGGATAAAGCTACTTAGCAGCCTCAAATAGATGAAATAGCCTGCAAAAACTCTGTTTTGGAAATGTATTTCAAATATATTCTGTCTGTCTATCTATCTGTCTCTCTGTCTGTATCAATCCTCTCTCTCTCTCTCTCTCTCTCTCTCTCTCTCTCTCTCTCTCTCTCTCTCT